GGGCCAGGCCCCGGTTCTCCCGCATCTTCTCCACCACGGCGGCCAGGCCAGCGGCGCAGAGCTGGGCCGCCCGCAGGGACACGGTCTGGCACACCTCCCGCACAAGCATGCTGTCCTCAAAGTTGGCCTGGAGCTCCAGGTCCTGCAAGATGGCCTGTACCTGCCGCAGGGCCAGCCCATCGCTGCCCCGGATCAGAGGCACCGTTAGCACCGCCGTCCCCATCACCGTCCCCATCCCACGGGCTGGAGGTGGCATCACTGTGCATGCACCCTGTCAGTGTAGCGTGGCCCCTCCTGGGGCTCTGGCTTCACAGCCCCCGCCCCGCGCTAAGGGAGCCCACCGGAGTGCAACACTCACATCTCGATGGTAGAGAGGAACTTGGTCTGGAAGATGTCCCTGGTCTGGAGCTTGGGGCAGGGCTTGCCACGGAACAGCAGCCGTTTCTCCACCAGTGCCAGTAGGATGTGGCGCACGATCTCACCCAGGTACATGCCGCTGATGAGCTTCTCGAACCTGCCCCAGGCACAGCCCTGGCACCCTTAGCCGGACACAGCCGCCCCCACCCGGCCCCCTCCCTGCCCAGGGGCCCTCGCCCACCTCTGCTTGCCTGCGTTGATTGTTTTCTCATCCACCAGCAGGTCAAAGACGGTGAAGATGTCATCCAGGCAGCCGTTGTCCCCAAAGGCCCCCCACTCCATGTTGATGCACATGCGGCCCTGCTCCCCCTCCGCGGTGCCCACGTTCTGCATCTCCTCCATGTAGCAGGCGTTGGTCCCTGTCCCTGTGGGCCCCACGCTGGTGTCACCACCACCACAGCCCTGGCAGAGCTGCCTGGCGCCCCGTTGGCCAGGCCAGGTGGGCTGGTGGTGAGGGGATGGGTGCAGAAGTGCTCCTCACCCACGATGAGGCCAATTTCACATTTGGGGTCATCGTAGCCACAGGACATCATGGTTCCCACCGTGTCGTTGACCACAGCCACCACCTTCAGCCCTAAGTGCTGCCAAACCAGACACACGCACACACGAAGCTTAGTGGCACACAGCTGACTCCTGGGG